AGAGAAGTTCTGATACAGGAAGTACCAGCACTGCCAGCCGTTGAACCTGAACTGGTGTATGCACCTGAACCAGTCATTGAACCTGAACAGGTTCAAGAGGTACCCGTGTATGCACCTGAACAACCAGTCATTGAACCTGAACAGGTTCAAGAGGTACCCGTGTATGCACTGAATCGTTGAAACAGTTCAAGAGGCCCCCGTGTATGCACCTGAACAACCGGCCGTTGAACCTGAACAGGTTCAAGAGGCACCCGTGTATGCACCTGAACCAGCCGTTGAACCTGAACAGGTTCAAGAGGCCCCCGTGTATGCACCTGAACAACCGGCCGTTGAACCTGAACAGGTCCCGTGTAACCTGAACAGGTTCACCCGTGTATGCACCTGAACAACCGGCCGTTGAACCTGAACAGGTTCAAGAAGAGGTACCCGTGTATGCACCTGAACAACCGGCCGTTGAACCTGAACAGGTTCAAGAAGAGGTACCCGTGTATGCACCTGAACAACCGGCCGTTGAACCTGAACAGGTTCAAGAAGAGGTACCCGTGTATGCACCTGAACAACCGGCCGTTGAACCTGAACAGGTTCAAGAAGAGGTACCCGTGTATGCACCTGAACAACCGGCCGTTGAACCTGAACAGGTTCAAGAAGAGGTACCCGTGTATGCACCTGAACAACCGGCCGTTGAACCTGAACAGGTTCAAGAAGAGAGATGGTACCGTCACCTGAACAAGGTTCAAGAGGTACCCGTGTATGCACCTGAACAACCGGCCGTTGAACCTGAACAGGTTCAAGAAGAGATACCCGTGTATGCACCTGAACAACCGGCCGTTGAACTTGAACAGGTTCAAGAAGAGGTACCCGTGTATGCCCTGAACAACCGGCCGTTGAACTGAACAGGTTCAAGAAGAGGTACCCGTGTATGCACCTGAACAACCGGCCGTTGAACCTGAACAGGTTCAAGAAGAGGTACCCGACCTGACAACCTGAACAGGGTTGGAAGGAACTGGCAAAGGAGGCCTTGAACTGCTTGAGCGGGACGTACCACCTCTCCTGGAGAAAATTCCTCTTGAGAAGGCTGAACCTGAACAGTATCAGGGTCAACCTGAACAACCAGCCGTTGAACCTGGACAGGTTCAACAGGTGCCAGTGTATGCACCTGAACAACCAGCCGTTGAACCTGAACAGGTTCAACAGGTGCCCGTGTATGCACCTGAACAACCAGCCGTTGAACCTGAACAGGTTCAAGAGGTGCCAGTGTATGCACCTGAACAACCAGCCGTTGAACCTGAACAGGTTCAAGAAGAGGTACCCGTGTATGCACCTGAACAACCGGCCGTTGAACCTGAACAGGTTCAAGAAGAGGTACCCGTGTATGCACCTGAACAACCAGCCGTTGAACCTGAACAGGTTCAAGAGGTGCCAGTGTATGCACCTGAACAACCAGCCGTTGAACCTGAACAGGTTCAAGAAGAGGTACCCGTGTATGCACCTGAACAACCGGCCGTTGAACCTGAACAGGTTCAAGATTGCACCTTTGAACTGAACAGGTACCCGTGTATGCACCTGAACAACCAGCCGTTGAACCTGAACAGGTTCAAGGCACTGTTGAACCGAACAGGTTCAACCGTGTATGCACCTGAACAACCAGCCGTTGAACCTGAATAGGTTCAACAGGTGCCCGTGTATGCACCTGAACAACCAGCCGTTGAACCTGAACAACCGGCCGTTGAACCTGAACAGGTTCAAGGAACTGAACAACCGGCCGTTGAACCTGAACAGGTTCTACCATGAGGAACCTTTCTACCATGAACAACCGGCCGTTGAACCTGAACAGGTTCAAGAAGAGGTACCATGAACAACGGTTCAAGAGGTACCCGTGTATGCACCTGGACAACCGGCCGTTGAACCTGAACAGGTTCAAGAACAAGCGGTTGTACTTGAACAGCTTCAAGAAGGGGCGTCCGTGTATGAGCCTTGAAGCACCAGTGAGCTACGGCATTCTGTGCAGTGTCTGCAATGGTCGTCGACCCAGAATGTCTGGATTGCCCATTAGATAAAAATATATTAAACTATATATATATTATATATATATATATATATATATATATATATATATATATATATATATAGTTTTTTCTATTTTATCTTTTTCAAGCGCTCATTTCGCCACGTTCTTTGCCCTATTCACATACCCTTCCCTTCGTTCCTGTTGCAACATATGCACGCTTGCTCGTATCCAGGATCTAGAGATGAAATTGATGTGAAAAATTACTCCTAAAAATCAATATATTTTCAACTTACGTTTTGAAGCGAATATGTATTGTATTTATTCCTTTGTCATCCAAAGATTTGTAAATTGTTTAGTGAACTGGATATCCTTTATCTTCTGGTACGAATTTAGTCTAGCTGTAGCAGCTCTTCAATTATCCAGGCGTCTGCAGATAATAGAGCGTTGCGAAGCAGCAGAGAAGGCTCGACTGGGTCCACTCTAGGATTTGAA